GGTGAAATGGAGGGGAGGGAGTTGTGGGTGGCAGTAAAGGATTGAGGTGTTGTTCAATAACATTCCCATTTATACATTTTTGTTTCAAATTTCAACCTTTTTCCCAGATTTCTTGCCTTCTTCACCAGTGTGGATTAACTTTGATAGCTGTGTACAATTCAACAATAATAATTATTAAGGAAATGCAAAGACTGGTGTCAAAATGCAACTGTCCGTTTCACAAATGAATTCTTAAATAAACATTTTTACTTACTTTAGCATTATCAGGAGTGTGAAATCCACTAGTGCACTGCAACCTAGGATGTGATAAAACAGGGTTCGCATGGGTCATAGAAAACCTGGAAAGTCATGGATTTTATCATTTCATTTTCAAGGCCTGGAAAGGCATGGAATTGAAGTGTGGGTCATGGAAAGTCATGGAAAAGCAATATACTTTCAGAGAAAAAAAATTTCAAAAAGATCAAAAGTTAAAGCCCTGGTCAAACGGTGCATAATAGTCGATGATAGTTGATGCTAGTCGGTGAAAGTTCGGGAAGAATCATTCAACTATCATTGACTGTCATGCACCATTTGGTCAGGCTTTGAAAGCCTTGGTCAAACGGTGTATGATAGTCGATAGTTGAATGATTCTCCCCGAATTTTCACCGACTATCACCAACTATTATCGACAATCATGTGCCATTTGACCAAGGCTTAAAAACATAACAGGCTAGTCAGTTAAATGGTTTTAACTATTCCAGTAAAAATCAAACACTAGTTCTCATTCTGTGGGTCATAATATGGGAAAATAACTTAAATAACAGATTGTTTTGATAATACTTTGAGAACAACTGCTTCACATAGGTCATGGAAAACTCGGAAAGGTCATGGAAAAGGTCATGGAATTTTAACATCTCAAAAGAGTACAAGCCTTGTTAAATGCTAGATACCCTAACTGGGGTATTATGATTTTTTTTGTAGCAAATGGGAGCTGTAATGTTTTCCAAAATTTATCGCTTTCCTTTTGATGTTTATTGGCTATCATTCTTTATCCTCTTTTGTTTCATGCACCATGATTGTATTTTGCTCATTCATTTTTATGATTGCAATTTCTGACACAATAACAAGGTAAAGGCTAAGTCTGTGTACAAGCCAGGTGTCCCATCATCAATGCTTATCTCTAGTTTCAGTAACATGAAGCAACTAGCAATATTTCTTCTCCCCCCTGGATGGGATGCTAGTCCATTGCGGGGTTAACTACTAGCATTAAGTTTGCTGGTACCCATTTATACACCTGGGTGGAGAGAGGCTCTGTGAGAGTAAGGTATCTTGTCTAAGAACACAACAAAATGTCCACAGCCAGGGTTCAAACCCATACTGCTCAATTTGGAGATGAGCATACTAACCATGAGGCCACTGCAAGTCCACACAATTTCAAAAAATATTCTCTTATTAAATATTGTAGATTCATTGTATTTTGTGGTCTTACTGTAAGTTGAAACTGATGATAGATGCAGATCACCCAGACCATGTTTTTCAAATTGAAATCATTAGCATGTATCTGA